TGTGGGCACCCAGAACAATGGGTATCATGGGCCAGGACAAGAGGGGTGAACTGAGCAGGGAGAAGTGACTGTGGAATGTAGTATTGTTCTTGATTACATCAAGTCTCAGACAACAATAGGGTGACTTTAGCCGAGGAAGAATCATTGGGAAACTAAAAAAAGGAAGTTAAACAATGCTGTGGTTGACACAAAACTCCTGGACACAACCTCCTTTTTTCTGTTTCCCAATGATTCTTCATCGCGTAAAGTCACTCTATTGTTGTCTCTGAGACTTGATGTAATCAAGAACACCACGACTTTCCACAGTCAATTCTCCCTGCTTAATTCACCCCTCTTGTCCTGATACCCATCGTTCTGGGTGGCCACCCCATTTAGGCTCCGGATTGAAGCCGGATGCAAGACATATGAGGCCCACTTTGGTGCCCATGACTGTAGGGCTTCTAGCATTATGCCCGTACAGTTTCATCCAATTCCATCTAATTGTTAATAAGTTAGGACAATTTATCTATCTGGTCCTTAAGTTTTGCACACCAGTGTATATACAACACAACTTAGCGGAAACGCTGATGTTTATTCTTGTCAATGCTGCATTGACAAACCCGTAATGGTGAATTTTTTACGATGACAAACACATGTTATATGATTTGTCACTGAAGTGGTCTATAATGATGAGGTACTTCGATATGAATCATGACGACATATAGCGTTCAGCACCAAAGTGCTACTTCTAGAACAATCTACACAACTGTACCAAAAACATCGTCGCAAATCTACCTCACGTGCTCTCATGAACAAATAAACTACTGGAAATTAGCTATTGAGGGATAGCGCTGAAGAATCTTCTTCACACGTGACTTCCCGTTTTCCTTCATTTTCTTGAAGACGATTAGCGAAACCATGGCGATATTTCCAACACCGACGATGAGGAACAGCAGTGAAAGTGTTGGTACCTGGATTTATGAGCCATGTAATGAAATTCTTCGTTCAGAAACCGTACAACATTAGTTCAATCTGCGCTATGTAGACTAACCTGCCAAGCACACTCCTGAGTTTTCCACAATTTGTACAGCGTGTAAGCGTTGTTCAGTTCTAGCAGGTACATTACGACCAGAAAGGGAAGCAGAAACGTAAGGCCTTGGAACATCCACGTGGCGAAACCCTCTGAAAAAGGAAGGATTCTCAAAAAAAAAAAGAATCCTATGGTTTTCCCATGAATCGCGTTGCATCCCCTAAGTGCTTTTTGAACCGCGGATCGAAAAGGAAATTAACATTGTGAAAACGGCCTCTAAACATTGGAACCAATTCAACCTACCGAGGGTCACGTCCATCGAGTCGCCGTGGACCAGGCGAATGCAGCCGTCGTGAAGGGCAACCAACTTTTAGGTATGGTACTTGCAATTGCTGGCACAAGGCAAATATGATTGAAACCATCAAGGAGTGAGTGTGGTAAAATGGTGTGATATAAAAACATATGGATTATCGGCACCATTGCTTGCGTGTTCTCATTAATACTACCTCACTGTTGTTTCCTTACCCGTTACCTTCTTTTCTATCTTTCTTTTTTCTCTCTTTCTCATTTTTTTTTATCATGGACGCTTGAGTTTATACGAATGTATGCTATACGAAGTTATTACGTTCCGGTGTAATAAATAAACAAATAAATAAATCACATATATAGCTGGTTTGATTAGTTGATCATGAAGAGGTTTAAAAAATCCCCAAAAGTCATTGAAGCGTTTCACCATTCACAAATGCTCTTACATTTTTATGCGCTCACAGACCCTAAAGGGCAGCAAGCTCCAGGATGAGTTTTCACAAATGGGGAATGAGCACATCTGGTTATACGCTGCCAGGACCATTAAAGAAGCACTGCCATCGTCAAGCGACCGTACATCTACGTGTGACATATCGTGCAGGTCTTCAACGTTACTCTAAACCTTGAAATGTACCATGATGAGTGGTCTCATTCCGTCTCATCGACTAAGTACTACATCTGCTTGGAAATTCCCTTCTTTTATAAACGGTAGAGGGTGAATTAATTGCCGCTTATCAGTTGTTTTTGGATGCTCCACGCATTCTACATCCAGCCGGAATCGTAGTGAAACGCAATGCACGTGGTTTATAAAATGGCTTGCAGGAGTCAGCCAATGCACAAGTCAGTGTTTTTTTTTTCTACAAGAAAAGTCTGATATTAATAACCACGATAGAGATATAATGCTTATTGTTGCTTCATGGACTGTAGGCAAAGGGTCAACCCTGTCACTCGTGGCGTCGATGCAAATTTCCAGACACGCCACCACGACCCCACCACCACCCTCGCCTATAAGCTGTTTTTTACAGTTATATGATTTCGGACAGTCTACACACGATCTAGCTGGGCACCCCTGAATTCCGTCAGACTTGTATCAAACGGCAAGGACGGAGGGAGGTAGGGTACTATGACAAAATGACTTATTTTTATCGCTCCAGGACATGGTGTAGTCTCTCCACTATATCATGTTCCCTCAACAATCCTCACCGTCCCTCTGTGAAAATTTCGAACACTAAAAAGCCTTCGCACAATCCCATAGAGAAAGACGGTCCTTTATCATGAAATACCAAATATGACATCATATACTACCAAATATGACCCCGTTGAACATGGCACAACGGACAGTTGACCCTGAGTATGATCCAACTTAGCTCCTTGTACTATCTTCTAAGCACCAGCGTTTATTCCGCTTGGCGGTATTTACCAGATTACAAGTGTGGAAAGAATCCGAATGATGAGAGCCTTAGTAGGCGTTGCTAACGCGACACCACGGATCGTGCACGTGGTCATTTGAAACTATACCCCTTCCGCTCTCTCACTCTCACACTTGTACTCTTAATTTTATAAAAGATGGCTTATAGTGATCCTAAGTCTGCTCTATTCCAATAAATTCAGTGGTTAGAGACAGTATCGCAAACATCAATTTTGTTACCGTAGTAATCCGTAGAAATTCCACGGCGACTAAGAAAAATAAAATGAGGTCGCTAACCTGATACGAAGCATCATCTGGCCAAGTAAGAGCCACACCACCGATCACACAAGCCAGGTAGTGATGAGCCACCCACCAGGAACCCAATCTGAAACTTATTTCATTACTACCCGCAACCTCGCCGTCACGAGTGCCGATATTGATGAAAAAATTGCTCACTTGGAGCCATTGATGATAAGAATGCTTTCTCGAATTGTAAGAGTACAGTAATACCACACCATCAAGAAATGGCATATCGCATCCATAGGCCTGAAAGTTGTGAAAACAAAGTTTGGTTATTAAAATAAATAGCAAAATGCTAAAAAAAAGGTTTGAGCATTCACGAAGAAGATTTGCTGGAATCACAATTTTCAGTGAACTTGAATATAATGAGGAAGCAAAAGCGGCGATGCCTAACAAACTGTTCAGGCAGAAGACTGAAGAAGAAGACCTCACCAAGCAGAGTCGACCCTTCCGTTGGTCATTTACCAAAGAAAGGGCCGTATTTGAATTTTCTGAAGGGGAGGATCATATTTTGGGTGGTTGGGATGATGACAAGAAGGGGGGAGAGATGTTCAAAGACGGTTGGAGATGGATGTTGGAGGCGGTGTTGCGGTGGAGGGGAGAGGATTTTCACGAGTTTTTCGACATATTTGATGACAATCTTAAAAGAAATGGGCGAAATGGACAAAACTGGAGTATATACCGCTCCAGTGAGCATATTTGTTCTCCTCCTTCCTCTCGCCTGTCTCCCTCGAAGACCGTTTTGATGGAAAAGAGTGGACATAATCGGAATGCACCGACTGGTCTCAGGGTTTCGGAATCAAATCCTATAGAAACAGCTGTGATGAGGGTGGTGGTGGAGTGGTGGGAAGGGAGGCCGTACTTGTGAGTGAAACCCCTTCCCATATCATGTTGGTGGTTGGATCGCATCGAGACCTCTGGGAGTGGGATTCGTAAAATCCACGAAATTTTTTACTAGCGTCGCGGTTAAAGAACGCACGTTCGGCACTGTGTGAGCTTACTGTTAGGACCCCAAAACTAAAGAGAAATAGACAGTTCTTTCAAGATGAAGGCAAAGAAAACCGACCAACATAATAACGTGCGACTTTTATTGTGCATGTAGCGGCAAATACCCTTCAAAAGCCAGCAAAAAGCGCGCAACTCAGAGGAGCCCTTGTCGGGGAATAGTCTTTCGATGGTGTTCCATTCACGAACTGATCAATAAGAAATAAGCATTTATATCCTTCTTATATTTTGGTGGAAAAAAACTTACCCGTGATGGGAAGAAATACGCGATAGCCAGTGGAAACAAATTGAAAATGGTGAATCGTAACTTGAAGGTCTCGTAGTCCTTTTTGAAGTAGAATCTGAAGCGATAAAAACTGGCAATATGTGGAAACATTCGTGCTCAAAGTGTAAAAGGACTCACCGCTCAGTGCTGCTCATCGTTAGGTCAATATTGTTGCCAAGGATTATACCAAGGTAGAACCTGAAAAGAACGATGTACAGAACTGCAGCGTGGCTCTATTCGAGAGTGGACGCCGCCTTTTTTCACAGCACTTGACAAGCAGTGGCCAGCGCTCGCGCAAGTTTTCTTTCAAACAAAAAGTCATGCATGTGAGCGCATAGTATAGGATGGGCAACAATTACTGTAACAACATAACTTGGTCATAAAAAAGCAATGTTGCCGAGAAGTCGCAAATCAACAGCACCAGCATATTGGTGAAGAGCGATCAAACAGAAAACAATATTGCTTCTTTGGAGTGGACGCTTTCTAGGTTGATAAATAAACGAAGATTCCTAGGAAGTCGTCGACTCTGTTGCGTAGGTAGATGTTGTCGAGTAGGTCCACGGCCTTTAAGAGCAGCTGCCCAACTACTGTCACAACTAACTCAGTGCAGAGACTCCATAAGACTTGAGATGGAGGAGCTATGTTATCACTTCTCTAATGTGATGAATTCCACGATATTCTGTTGGCGTCGATTTTTGGACAATCTGTGCATTGTGGGTGGGCGCCCAATCTTGCTCTGATGCCTGTGTTTCCTATTGAGGGTCCTTTCGCTTGAAGCATCAACCGAGACAGAAGGAGTTCGAGACGATTTTTACTAAGTTTTATATCTTGAGCAGCAGAGGTCTGAGGTGTCTTCTAATCATGATTCCTGCTCTTATTATTTCTGCGAAAACTATCGGTTGGTTTTTCACTAGCATTAGTCCGGCCGCTCTTCTTATTCGGAACAGGAGAATATCTTCCCATCAGTGGAAGCGATCCATAAAGGAAGCTCATTACGGAATCGAGACAATCTCTTTCAGCATTTTGCTTTCTGTTCAAATTCCACGCATCGGTTAGATGTTAGGCATTTTATGCTTGCAAAACTTCCAGTTAAGGTTTGTGCAAATTAGGAATTGCAAGAAAGTGCGCTTAAGAGCAGTTTCAGTTTCACCAAACGATAGATGGAGCAAGCTGGCTTCCAGCGCTTCTTCGCATCCATCTTCAATATCCATATTACTTGTCATAATTAATTATGCCTGTTTTCAAGCGCGAACTAAGAAAATGTAGAGCTTTCCTCGCATGAATATTAATTCATTTGCCATGACCCCCAAATTCACGGCAGTAATGGAGCGAGAGCAACTGATGGACTGCGGCTGCCATTGCTCTCGATGAACGACGCGGCGACCTTGCCTCCAAAAAAGTGGCAAGTCAGAGAATCTACGTATCTGCAACCCATCACGTGTTTGCATGAGGTTAGCTAAACCAATGGGGGTAGTTAAGGTGGGAATGGCATAAAGGGATCCACACGATAGTGCAGTTTTTCAGCATTCCGAACCCTGCCATCATCATTGCGAAAGTGTTGATGAATGAAGTATTGACTCCAAAAATCGGAAATTCCGCTTAAAAGCATGCCCCATGATCACATTGGTGTGGCTCTTGCACACGAATGCGAATGTATCGGTGCCAAGTGGGCCGGCAGTAAGAAAAAAGGAAAAGAATCCGTCGAAAACGCTTAGGTTAAGGGCCTTTCCTAATCGGCTGTGCTAATGAGAGACTAAGCGCGGAGAGGAGAGTATGAGGCGAGAGAGCGCTACAGATGAGAGAGCGCCAGACAACAGCCTGATAAGAGAAAAAAATCTGCAGCTTCAGCAGCTTACTTTGCAAGGCCCAAGCGCTCTTGTCGGTTGGTTTCCGTGCACGGGAACGCCACATTTGTGATTGTCCTCTAGGGTCTATACTACAGACCGAAGGGAAGCGTTCACACGACCTCTGCCTGGGTTGTGCCTTCAAGAAGCGGTCGTAAATGTGCTCACTCCTGCTAATAAGCGAGCAGTTATGCCGTGAATCATTGACCTTGAAACCTTTACATTCATACCTGTTCTTCTGCAAGTTTTGCCGCATGCATCTTCATGTCATTCAAAAAAGAAACCAACCCATTATTGGTTTTCTTTTTCGGCTCAGCCTCTTTCTTTCCTTCCCGTCCGCAATAGTGACATCGCTTTGCGGGATCCACAAATTGCACTGCTGGCTTCACCCTCCGATTGCTGAATTCGTTTCATTAAAAAAATGCAAATCGTCAAATGGAACATGACTTCTCCTACTAGGAAAGACTCCAACATCAGAGGTATGGGAAGGAAAAACCACTCACTTGTTTTGTATATCTTCAGTGCGGTCTTCTACGTCTAAGGACATAGCGGTTGGTCCTGGAAGCAGCCGAAAATGTTTCAAAAGATTACCAAAAATTGCTGGCGGCTCTCATGGAAACACGATGACACAATCGAGGACGTGAATTATCAACGGAGAACGTAAAAGAAGTAGGAAGCAAGCCGCATGGTTGAGCGTTTTCAAATGAAGAACATCTCAAAGTTCCTATAGCTCTCATGGATGACACTGTACACTTAAAGGCAAACCCCGGGATTAGCCCGACTAGTAGGAGGGATACCACGAGGGAAATTGTAAGGTCCGTACCTACCTAGATCACTCCAGCTTCGTCGCAAAAATTGCGCGGTTAGGGCGCTAATCCTTACGGGCCTGCAACCATCGACCCCCGTTGCAACGCTTCCCACCCACCGCGATGGTGAGATCAGCGTGCTCTCTCAAACGACGTGCTCTCTCGCGTATTTTGTCTTCTTTGACCGCCCTTTCTCGCCATCGTACCACATCCGACCTTATTGAAGGTTAAGGCCTTAATTTCAGCGTTCCCAAGATTTCTCTTGCTTTCCTTTCCACTTTCAGGTCGTTCCGCAGCTAAGCTATCACTACAAAGCGCTGATAGCACCTGTTTAATCCCTGGATTTTGCCTTTAAGGACGATTGACCACGCTCAACCGTTGCCAGCAAAAAGAACCCGAGGCGATAATTAGTTAGGACAGAAGGCAACAAAACACGTGAGGCGACGGGTCAACCTAGTTCGCGATGGAGTTGTCAAAGTTAGAGGGCGAAAGGATGAAAGCATCATCGCTCATAATGCTCTCAATACTTCCAACTTTCAGTTATCATCAACGTTTTACATGCTATCCCCATGAACGCTTTCTCCACTACCGCAAGACTTTTATTGTGCTCAA